CAACGGATAGATTGCATGGCTCGCCGACAAGCAGCCCAAGAAACTTCGGCCCCTAAGTGGCGGCCGAAGGATACAGTTGCCACTGATGAGGAGCGACCACCTCGAGCAATTATGACAGAGTTGGCTCAGGGGAAACGGCTGATCGATCAAGATGTCGAGACCATGTTTGAAGAAGCTGATAAACGGATCAAACTTCTCATTTGACCAGGGGAAATGAAGGCACGTCTTGAACATTTCAGGCAAGAGGCCGAAAGCAAATTATCCCCGCTAGCTATACAAGAGCCTTTGGTCAAAATTCGACGGAATTTGCATCCCCCGTTCCTTGGGGAGTCTTTAGAGTATATGCGAGAATTTCATAAGAATCATTCGGCCAACGATCTGTATGGTTTGCCGAATGCATGCCAGGACACCATTGATCTGATACTGACTTGTCTGGATGCCGAGCGGATCATCCAGAAGACCTCAGATCCAGGATTGAAAGCAAGGTTCCAGCACATACGAGAAGCTCGTGTCTTTGGATTTGAAGTCGACCCGTACATCGATATCAATGCAGCCGACCTTCCTTTCTCGCTGAAGGACCTTCAGTATTTAAGATATCACTTTGAAGTATTTTCGGCGGTTTCTCTCTTCGGCCTTACGACCGATGAAATCGCACGTATTGCCCGTCTGGATGCTTATCTCGACACTAGGGATGCTCGGCTACACTACCAGGAGCAGGTTCAGGTATTGACCCCAAGTTCATTGTCAATCTCAACCTTACCTGAGGCGGTCACGCAGAACCAACAAGTCTTCGAAGCAGCTCCACCGAGTGACGTCATTGAAGAAGGGACAGAAGAGTCTCGTTGTCCGACTTTGACGACAACTGAGTCCGTAGTCGCCGACCAACCGAACGAGGAGGGTCTTGGCCAAATGGGCCCTTCAGTCCTGGATAATATGGAAATCAGTATGGTCCATGTGTTACCTGCCGATTTTCAATCAAGCACGGCTCAACCAAATTTCCTTGATGGAGATGTGGTTGCCGAGGAACCCGGCCATGTCGATTTTGTATCGATTGCTGAAGGCGAGTCAACAGCAAAAGATGATAGTCTAAAGGCCGCTTTGGCCGAATTGTTCCCTCGTTCATCGTCGGCTAAGCTTCACCATTTAAAGTCACTGTATGTGACGGCCCACATCGAGGGATATCCAGTTTCTAAAGTTTTTGTCGACTGTGGAGCTACCGTTAATATCATGCCTCTGAACATCATGAAGGCCTTGCGCCGTTCAAATGACGAGCTTATTCCGTCAGGAATCACAATGAGTAGTTTTGTCGGTGACAAATCCCACACCAAAGGTGTACTACCGTTGACTGTAAATATTGCCGGTCGCACCCATATGACTGCTTTTTTCGTGGTTGATTCCAAAACCGAGTATAATGCATTGCTCGGCCGAGATTGGATTCATTAAACCAGTTATATTCCTTCATCATTGTACCAAGTGCTTGTTTTTTGGGACGGCAAATCGATCACTGTTCATCCGGCCGATAGCCAGCCCTTCGAAGCTAACATGATACAAGCACGGTATTATGACGATCACGTCGGCTACATTACTTTGCAGGGCTTCAATGAAGAGGGACGGCCGACTCGAATTTCCGTTCAGAAAGCTATCGAGGTTGGTGCCGAGACTGTCCAGCAGGATTCGGCGAGACTCGGGTTAGCTAACTTTCTCCCCGAAGCCGATGTTTGACACCGATCAGGAAACACGCAGGGCCGCGGTTTCATCTACTATGGAACGACTGCTGGCCCATTGGTATAGGATATCTAAACAACCAAATTCGGGCATCAACCTCGTCGAGTTCCTTGCTGAGGGAGATAATGGGCCTGTATTATCTTTTGATAAAATTCGAGCCGCCCCGGCCGAACTCGAAGATCATCGGCCCCTTGTTAAGGACCCTTTGGAAGAGATTAATGTTGGGACAGCCGATGACCCATGGCTTTTGTTTATTAGTGCGTTACTTCCCCAACGAATGAAAGACGAGTTTCGTACCTTGCTTATGGAATTCAAAGATTGTTTTGCTTGGAGTTATCATGAAATGCCCGGCTTAGATCGTGTACTCTGGTCGAGCATGAATTATGTATTAAGCCCGGATTTAAACCTTTCCGTCAGCCACCTCGTCGATTCTCGACCGAAGCACAACTCCTGGGGGGCAGGCTAGGCCAAGAAATACCGGTGCTACGACAATTATACCCGGCCTTGGTCAACCAGCAAATCCTCCGGCACGACGATGTAATACGCACTCGAGTCATGTCTTTACCTTCGTTGTTAGACCGACAAGATACTGTAGAGGTCTGCACCGTCGAGGCAACACCAGATGATTGGAGAAAACCCATTATGCAGTACCTTGACAATCCCAATGAAAAACATAGTCGCAAGACACGAGTTCACGCCACGAACTATGTCACGTACCAGAACGAGTTATATCGAAAAGGGGAGGATGGATTACTACTGCTATGCCTCGGCCTTCAAGAAGGTGCTCGGGTGATCTCGGAAGTTCATGAAGGGGTTTGCGGAGCTCATCAATCCGGACGGAAAATGCGATGGTTACTTCGACGGCACGGCTATTTTTGGCCAAAGATACTAAAGGATTGTATCGAGTTTGCACGAGGATGCGTACAGTGCCAAATCCACGGGCCAATACAAAGGGTCCCGGCTGAATCGTTACATTCGGTCATTAAACCATGGCCATTTAGAGGATGGGCCATGGACGTAATCGGTAAAATCACGCCGACTTCTGGAGCTGCTAAGCATGCATGGATAATAGTCGCAACTGATTACTTTACTAAGTGGGTCGAAGCAAAATCATACGCCGAGTTAACATCTAAAGAGGTTTGCGACTTCGTGGAGGAACACATTGTGACCCGGTTCGGTGTACCGGAAACGATCATAACCGACAATGGAACAATCTTCACAGCCGAAAGGTTTAAAGAATACACGGCAAATTTGAAAATTCGGTTGGAACAGTCCACACCGTATTATCCACAGGCGAATGGGCAGGCCGAGGCGAGTAATAAAGTGTTGATCGGCATCCTCGAATAAATAATAAAAGAAAGGCCTGGCATGTGGCATTTGAAGTTGAACGAGGCATTATGGGCATACCGAACGTCGCCCCGGTCGGCGACCGCGACAACCCCATACGCATTAACCTACGGACACGATGCAATGTTACCAGTCGAGTTGAGCATAAATTCGTTGCGATTAATTGAGCAAAGTAGTTTGTTTAGCGCCGAATATAATCAGTCCATGAGACAGGAACTAGAAGATTTGGAAGAAGCGCGGCTTGACGCTTACAACTTGTTGGTGGCACAAAAACAGATTGCCGAGCGGGCCTATAATCAAAAGGTGCGACAGAAAACATTCGGCGAGGGTGATTTAGTGTGGCAAACGGTGTTGCCCGTAGGAATAAAAGATCCTAGGTTCGGCAAGTGGTCGCCGAATTAGGAAGGGCCGTTTATTGTGCATAAAGTATACGGAAAAGGGGCGTATCATCTTAAAGACCGAACCGGCGCGGTCCACAGATTACCGATTACCGATTAATGGGAAGTTTTTGAAGAAATATTATCCGGTCACATGGGAAATGCGGGAATAGTAAACCAGTCCATTAAAATTGATAAGTATTTACAAAATGAGTAGGTCGGTTGGTTTACATTCAGATACATTTAAGGAGAAGAGGGAAGAAGAGTGCTGAGCAGAGCCTTCAACTCCAACCACCGCACGTCGGCCATGAGGACTTCGGCTTGCCGATTCTTTTTGTCCAGCTTCAGCCGCTCGACTCATTTTTTGGCTGCCGCATACTCGGTTAGGCAATCCTTCCCGCCTGACTCGAAGTCCCTAGCAAGCTCGAAAGCAATGGCCGACCGACGTTTTGCTAGTTCGGCCATCTGACGGTCGAGCTCGGCTAACGCGTCTCCTTTTGCCCGTAAATCGTCAATCTTCGGACGGAGGGTGTCTTGAACGACCGTGGTGGCTTGCAGGTCTTGTTCGGCCTTTAGAGCGGTCTGGAAGATACTAAATGTCTCCCGAACGCGCTCCAAAGCAGATGATGCCCGAACAATGGCATCTCCGTTCAGGCGACCGTCGGCTCCAAGGTCGTTCAGACACACGCCGAGCAGATCAAGACCATTGCGCTCAAGTACTTGTGATGATGAGAGCGACATGACTTCTCGCAGCTGGGTTAGGGCGCTGAGATCGGCAGCTTCGGTCGTAGCGGCCGAAGGGCCAGACTCGGCAGTGGTACTGGAGAGGAGGGCTTTGAATTCGACCTCCCAGGAAGCCTACACATACAAATCAGGTTAAGTTTAAAAGAAGTCATGACAAGAGTAGCAAGAAGGTTTCGTTTTTTTTAACCTGCCGAGAGGAGACCTCGGCCATGTCTCCAGGATCGTTAGTCGAACCTAAAGAACTCAATGGCCGAGCCCAGTGTTTCAGGTTGCTTCTCAATTCACGCGGCCGATGGAGGTTATCTATGTTTGACGGCCACTGAGGCGGCCACGAAATATAGATAACGCCCTTCGGCGCGTAGAATTCTCGGTGAAAAGAATGTACAGGCACCTGACATTTATTATTTTCCTCGTTTAGAATTCTAAAGAAAAAAAGCAATCAAGGAAAGATGGTCGAAGGGACTTACGAAGGCCGAGGTAACCTCCTGTGGAGGAATATGGAAGCCCTGGTCTTGAGGATGAACGGGCGATTCCGCCGTCGCCTCGGGTTCCTCGAGCGGGCGTTTGCCACGGTCGGCTGCAGATGGGCCGACCGGAACAGCCGTTTCGGAGGAGGCAGGGACATCCTGATCCTGGGGAGGAGCGAGGAGTTCGGCCACCGCCGTTGGCTCCTCGACTGGGCGCTTGCTACGATCAGCCGTGGAGGGGCCGGCTTGAACCACCATCTCTGACCTTGGGGAAGGTTACCGACGGGAGTGAGGGCGATTTGCCAGCGGGACCTCGTCGCTCCCCTCACTCTCTTCCAGGATGAAGACCGAGGGTTTTGGATTTTCAGGGGCTGCTCCCTTGGTCGCAGAAACCACCTTTTTTGGAATGGGTGCCTCCTCGACGGAGGGAGGCACAACTGGTGTATCAGCCCCAGAAACAGGTCGCGGTCGAACTGTCTCTGCGACCGGGGCGGGCTGTTTTTTGACCAAGGGTTGAACAACGGCAGGAGAAGGGGAAACACTGGGAGTTGTCGCCCCTGTAGTTTGACTGGAGATGACATGGATCTCCCGTGCGCCTTTCTTTGCCAGTTGTTTTACCCGCTTGGCAGGTGGCGGAGGTTCGACGGTCGGCTCGGCCTCTTGGCGAGGTCGTTTGGTTGGCACGGCCCGAACAACAGCTTCCGTTTTTCTCGAAGGCCGATTACCTGAGAAGATAAGAATAATTCAGTAAGGCAAATCGATATGCAAGGTTGGAAGGAACCGGTGATAAATGAAAAATTACCTTGAGTTTGGGGAGCCGAGGCCTTCTTCGGACGGTCACCGAAGAGTTTGTTTAGCACCTCTTCGACCGGAGCACCAAAGAACTCCCGGATGTAATTTTCCCACCACTCACCGAAGATGTCGGTGCAATGGGTTTCTGGGGTGGCTGGTCGAAGGCGGAATTTTTGGCAGCGCTCTTGGAACTCCCTCACGGCAGTATTACATTCCGTCTCCGAGGAACAAGGCTCACGTCCACGGCTTAGGATTGTTCGCGAGGAGAGAAGGGGGACGGGGCAGCCCTGAAGGTAGCCGAGTTGTCGGGCAAGGAAGTTCGGATGATATACTTCCCAACCCAACCGTTTCCCATCACAGCCGAGAGGGAGGTCGCGAGCAAGCACAAACGACCCCCAGGTCTGACGAAGATCGGCGTCTTCCTCCGAGCTCCATGTAGAGGTAGGCAGCCTGATGGAGGAAGGATAGTCTCGACGACGACATATCAGGAACTCGTCGTTCGGAAAGTATGCTGGTAGAGCAGGATTTATCGACTTCTTGCTCGGTTTAGGGCAGAGTATGTTCCAATTCATACAGTATCTGAGATGTTTTGAATTCATCTGCTATGGTGAATATGTTGGTCAAGGCAATTTTAAGTTTGAAATAATGCATGAGCTGGCGTTTTCGTATTCGTTTTTGTTTAGCTATGTTAATGTTTGAGCATCTCTTGTGTACTTTTGGGTACTTTGGATGTCAGGTTTTTTCTCACTTTATTTTAATTTGTCAAGGGTACCTAAGTCTTGGATATTCGACACCGTTCCTTTCGTTGGGTGCATCTTATATGTATCCATCCTTGGCTGCTGCCAAGGCAGCTGTAATTTCTGTGGGTGAAGAGATAGCAACTCTCGGACTGCCGTCAGGGATCTGTCCTCTTGTCTTCGTTTTCACCAGTTCAGGAAATGGTACATTGCTTGTTCTTACTAAGCTTAAATGTCTTTAACATCTAATAGCAAAATATATCTTATGTAATTTTATTTCCTGTAGTTTCTTCTGGTGCACAAGAGATATTTAAGCTTCTTCCTCATACTTTTGTGGAACCAAGCGAACTTCCGGCGCTATTTGGGTCGGTAAGTAGTAAAACTAGTACAGTACATGTGGTTCCAACTTGGTCTTGTATGATAACAATAATAGAAGGAAAAATGCACTTCTAATTTGGTTCTTGTCGACTAGAGAGACATAAAGTTTAGGTGGAAACAGCTCTGTACAAATAGATGTCACCCTTCTTTGTGTTAGGTTTTCAATTTTTTTACTGATAGGCCAAGGATGCTGCTCAAACTACTCGAAAGTCGAAAAGGATCTTCCAAGTATACGGTTGTGTTGTGACTAGTAAAAACATGGTTGAACACGAAGATCCAACAAGAGAATTTGACAAAGTAAGCCCTGATCTCATAGTCATCTTTTAATTCTTCATTCCTCACTTCTTGTTTTTCGCCATCGTATAACAGAATATACGAACTCAAAACGTCTGCATTTTTCAGGCACTCTGGATTAATTTTTCAGGAACTCAAAACTCAGAATTTGACAAAATAACCGATTGCACATCATTGGAAAACAATTTGTTGAATCAGGTTCCTAACTCTCTTCTTAATTTCTCTTGAAATTAATTTGTTGATACTTGAGACATCAGATCACAGACTGTTAGTAATTAGTTATCTAAACATTATTTAATTTTGTAGGAATCTCTTTGGCGCTTTGGATTGGAAATTATTCTTCCAGGCACTAAAGTTCCCAAGTGGTTCAGCTATACCTCTAAACATCCAACAACATTTGAACTTCCATCAGAAAATGAAGGTGAAGAAGCTGTTAGAGGCAGTGAATGTTGTTTTGAAATTCCTCTAAACTTACAAGATGAGACTTCCGGATTGGCTCTATGTATTGTTGTTGAAGCATCGACTCCTTATGATCCTTATGTTCTCATCAACGGGGAAAAAGACTTTTATCCTAATTTGAAGTACAACATTGAGGCAACTTATGTGTGGTTCAAGTTAGTGGATTTAGACGAGCAGCAGAGAGATACATGTCAAGTCATATTTCAATTCCTGGAAGGCTCACACATTAAAAGTTGGAGGGTGCACGGTCTATTGCTCAACCAAGACGAACTGCTTCCCTTGTCATTAGGATCAACGAGTAGTCTTGAGAAGAAGCCTCTGTAAGTTGTGAGTGTCAAAGAACTTGTGCTCACTGTTTCTTGACATACAGTAACTTGGTCAATCTGAGTTAATGGTTAAGAAAATTATGGAGCCTTATTTGGTTAGGTTTAGGAGTCCTTATTTAGTGCAATTAATTATGAAAACCTTATTTAGTTGAGAAAGAGTTCGTTACCATTTAGGACTATAATGAAATCCTAATTGATTTGGAATATCCCTTTAATCAGTTAATAGGCCGGATCAAAGGGATGAGCGTCTATATATTAGGAGGTCCCTACACTCACAGCATCATTTTATTCTAGTGCAAAACCCTATTTTTGTGCACAAGGACTCTCAGCTGCTATAGTGTAGAAGTTCCTCCTTGAAACCCTAGCAGTCATGGCTTCTTCTTCTTCCTCCACTTCGGAAGATAAGTTTATTTCCCTTTTAATTGTTTGATTGGTTTATTGTAATTATTTTGGTTTTATATGTGATCCTAGTAACTTGTTGATTTTCAGATTACATCTTACAACCTCGTCCAAGTGGACCCCCAGATTATAAGTATGATCAGCTACAGCAATGGCCTTCCTTGTTTTCGGAGCTAGCGGATGATCATATAAAATGGAGGCATATTGATCTCAATGTTCCTGTTAAGATTGAGGATGAGCAGGAGCAACCGTCCACTTCAAAATCTCAGAGTGTCACTACTAGAAATTATAATTTTGCCGACAAATTATAAGCTGACAAAGCAACATTTTGTTGGCACAAGAGTCCTTTCTCGATGAAAATTTTAATTTGTCGGTTGAATACTCACGCTAGAACCAATTTACAATGTCAATCTTAGCCGAGAAAATTGAAACGTTAGTCAACGATCATTTTGTAGGCGTAAATTCGATGCCCTGACAAATTTTGTTTTGACGAGTAAACTTTGACGGGAACTTTTCCTTCTGTATTGAAATATTAGCCGATGATGTGAGGCAACAAAGTATTTCATCGGCAAATTGATTAGAGAGGCAATAAAGTACGTCATCGGCAAGGTAACAATAACTCTATGTGAGAGGTTTTCACCAGTGCACCTTTCCAATTTTTTCTGTGGAACGCAATCAAAGCTCTTGGCGACTATTTATGCTCTCATTCTCATTCTTGTTTCTCTATATGAAGGGGAGCATAGATAAAGAGATATCTAGCATTTCATATTTCTGGATTGTAGTTTAATGCCATCAATAATCTATATTGACAATTTGATTTCATAATATGTGAGTGTTTGAAAAAGTTCTTCCTATCAATTCTAACTCCAAACTACTTTCTAGCAACAGATAACTTGGTTTAGGTTATGATCAATTATTAGTCAATTAGTCAATGTATAAAATTACTAACATGTGTCATCTAGTAATTCATGATATGATAAGTACTTGTTAGTGTTTACAAGCAGTATCCAATTGTTTAAAGATTTTTTTTTTTCTTGAAGATAAGTGCGTTATTGATTAAATATTAAACTTTGAGTGTGCGGATAAACTTTTGTTGGTGCATATACAATCACCCTATCCTTACCATGGTATGTTTTCTTATGTCATCCTTCTTGTTTATTATTATTATTTTTAAATTATCATTATTAAAGAGAGAGGAAAGATTTTAAAATTATTACAATAAATTAGAAGATATGAGAGTTTCAAATCCGAGACGCATGGGTGAAAACCTAACACCTGATTCACTAAAATATTAGATCATATGCAAAAAACAAAAAAAAATATATTTATTTATATAAAAGTTTACATTGAAAAAAAAAATCCTATCCTGATTTGTCAATTGAATGAAAACCAATATTGCTCATCCGATTGAATGCCTAAAAGGACTAACAATTAGTTATTAGTACCAATTAAAGTGTAGGTAACATTTTGGAGAAATTCTTAAAGTAATTGTCACACTGTTACTAACAAACTCTTGTAAAGAAAATTAACTGTTATATTTTACATTAAAATATTAATTATATCGCTCATATCATATTATGACAAGTAAATTAGTAACCATGGTTCCATGACAAACAAAAATGGCAACAATGGGAACAATATCCACGTTTGTAATATATTATCCGTCCAATAATGCATGCGTGATAACTCGATAATTTTGATAAGAGGGAGAGAGCGAGTGGTCCGAGTGCGAAAAGCACTCATATTATATGAGTAAATACGTGATAACTTGTCCCGACCGGCAAAGAAGTGGAAGTCCGTTACGTCACCGTACCTGCGGAAACAGTCCCACGTGATCATGGACCTACTAGGGGTGGAAATTTTTACCAAATTGCCGTACCAACCGTCTTACCAACCATACCATATCAAATTATTACCAAAACTTTGTACCAATTGGTAATGGTATGGTATTTGTACCGTACCATAGTGTTTCAGTAAGGTACTGGTATCCAAAACTAGTATCGGTAGTATATCGTACCTACCAATATTATTAATATTATATTATGTATTTATTCATATAATTATTTGAGGGCAAAATTAATAATAATTATTGTAGAAGTGTAAAAAATGTAAAAAAAAAAAATATATATATATATATATATATATACAATCACTCATAGTGATAAGCTTTACAACTTTCATGCAAGGGTCAGCTTCAAAATCCAACACCTATAATCCATAAACCTTAAATTTATATTTAACCGTCGATTGTCATGTACGCTTTATTCTTCTTACTGAATTTCATTTTTTAAATTTTCTTTTTTGAAAATATGATTATCTGACGGATGTAAGAAGTTGAACGGTTCAGATCTTTGATATCACGTTTCGATATTTACGGTTAACTGAAATATGAGTCAATATCATACAGTTTGTAGAAACTTTATAAACATCAAGCAATATTTTCCCTAACTATAAAACTATGAACATAATATCAACGGTCCAATCTGTTCATCTTTCTACATCCTCTAATAGATCATGTTTTCAAATAAGAAAATCCGAAGAAAACAAAATTTGATGAGAAAAATGAAGCGTAAATGTAAACAACAATCAACAGTTAAATTTTGATCTATGATTTATATGATTATAATGGCGAATTTCAAAGTTAAGCTCTTCACGAAAGTTGTAAAGCTTGTAATTACGAGTGTTTATATATTTTTTCTATATTTTTTACACTTCTACATTAATTAAAAAATATTAGATTTTGGGCAAACTAAGTGGCGTAAAACAAAGTGGCAATTACCATTGGCATACCATATCAACCAAACTATTTGGTATACCAAGTTTGGTATGATAATGGTAATAGATTTTGCTGTACCAAATATTTGGTATGGTAATTGGCACAAAGGTTTTGGTACGGTAATGTACCAAAACCACCCCTAAGACCTACTGGAAGCTCCGAAGGACAAGGATTGTCTGCCCTCCTTGTTCCCGTGCTCTCTCGTGCCCTCCTATTTTGTGTGGTCAAGGTTAAGTCACGTCAACATTTTATATTATTTTTTTATAAAGATAATAAGACAAAAATAAATAGTAATATAAAATGTTGACGTGGCATAACCGTAACCACACGGATAGAAGAACACGGGAACAAGGAGGGCACACAACCCTTGTCCAGCTCGGAAACCCATGTACTGTAAAGTGTTGATCATCAGCATGGCTGAGTCACGACTCGGTCGCTGACTCACGTGAATTATCACATGCATGCGATTAGAAATAAAAGCACCAACTTCTCGAAAGATTGTTCAGTGTGACCGATTATGGGATATGTGCTAAAAAGTTAATAATTTAAAAAATAAAATTTCTCACCATTTTTATTAAAACGTGATGTACAAATTTCCCCAACTTCTCATATCAATATCATCCACCTAGCTGCATGTGCTCACTTGTCACTTTCTCTCTCTTCATTTTCTTTCTCAAACTTTCATACCTAATACCTACACCAACAAAACGATCACACAAAAATTCAACAAGTTACACGTTTTTTGTCAGGTAAAAATGCGTTTCTGATCGCTATGTTTCGTCTCGATTTTGATTTTGATCACTGTGTTTTTTTGTTTTCGTCGATTTGGTCATTGCCTTTGGCTTGTTTGAAAATTTTCCAGTTTCCAGAGTTGAATTGTTGAAATAATTTGGTGTTGGTGTAGATTTTGGTTTTGGTTTCGATTTCGGTTTTTTATTAAGATTACAATGATTGGAAATGGGGTGGTGGGGATTTTGGCCGAGTCTGTGAACAAGTGGGAGAGAAGAGCGCCTCTGACGCCGCCTCACTGCGCTCGGCTGCTCCACAGCGGAAGAGATAAAACCGGAGTTTCTCGGATCATACTGCAGCTCTCGACGAAGAGAATTCATCATGATGCAATGTATGAAGATGTTGGATGTGAAATCTCTGAGGATTTGTCACATTGTGGTTTGATCCTCGGCATCAAACAGCCAAAGGTACTAATTTTTCGTTCGTTTTATATACCATCAAGTTTGTCAATTGATTTGCATACGTAAACAGAATAGTTTAGAATATCGCCTTGTAAAGAGAAAGTTTGTCGATTGATCACAAATTTTGATACAATTGTTTGGATTTGGTGCAGCTGGAGATTATTCTGCCGGATAGAGCTTATGCGTTTTTTTCGCATACTCATAAGGCTCAGAAGGAAAACATGCCACTCTTGGATAAGGTCTTGTTTGATTTGCTTAGTTTACGTTCCGTTCTGTGATTTGTTTTTCCTGTACAGAATCTAATGTGCATACCAATTTTATGAGCAATATGGGATGTGTAAGAATGGTTCTGCTAAGGCTTCAAGAGTTGCAGGATCCACCTAATCCGTAACCAAGACGAATTGGTTTCCTTGCCTTTGGGATCAGACAGTAATGTTGGAAAGAGACCTCGTTTGCTTTAAACCTCGGATATCTCGTGGTCGTCAAGAGCGATGTCTTCCCTTGTACTCGGAGCCAGCGGATCATCCAAACTGGAGGCATATTGATAAAGAAGTGACTTCTATACTCACATTTTCTGCTTAAACTCTCGTCCCTCGTTTTTCTAATCTTCGGATTGAATAAACCAATGGAGAAAAAAAACAAAACGAGGGTGGCTGCTTTATGAGAGGCGCACGAGCAACCACTCACTTCCATCCGCAGCGCGATTCACTACTGTAGAAATTTTCATCTCTGAATAATTTCTTTTACTAGCCAAGTGTGTGGACTTCATTAATGTTTTTCCTTTTTTTTATTAATTAGTTCTGCATAAGGAATTGAGCAATACTTAATTAGACTCCTAAATGGTGAAGAAATTCGTCTTCCATAACTTATCTTCTGGTTACAATTATATATAGAATTTCAACGCACTCATTTTTATTATAATTATCATTATATTTATATTATCAACGTTATAATAAAATCTCGTTTATATCTTCTAGTAATTTTCATATGATATTGATAATTAATTCTTGTTAGTGTTTAACAAAACAGTTAGTTAGTATTATCCAATTGTTTAAAGATTTTTATTCTTGAATAATAGTGCGTGATTAATTAATGATTTTATTAAACTTTGTGGTGCGGATAAACTTTTGTTGGTGCATATACAATTCGTTTACCATATTTGTGTTATTATTTGGTAATCATTTCTCCTTATGTTTGTCCTTCTAATGTTTATTATTATTTTTTTATTATTTTTTATATTTTTTATTGGATTTTGTGAATGATTTCTTAAATCTATTAACAATTTTGAAGTAGTTAGTGGATGGATGTTTCATATTTTTCACGAGACCGAAACGCATTTTGGAATTTCCTATGATAAATATTTATTCAATACAATTTGATTCCCATTAGTAATAATAAAGTTTTATAATTGTTGTATAAAAAATTAAAATTCCATTTGATTTAATTATTGAAAAATAATTTAATATTGGGAAGAAATTTTTGAATTGGAAATTTTTTTACAAAACGGAATGTAGGATTTAAATGAAAAAAATGATAAAAATGGCTTTGCCAAAAATATACATTGATTATTTATATTAAAATTTTTTGAAAAAAATAAATTCCTAATCCTTCAAAATGTTTGTTGCCACTAGAATTGGAATCAAAACCCTGTGTTATTCGCAGAAGACGGAAACAGACACGGGTATTTGACGAAACAATATATTTGCCCAAAGACATGGTTATTTGTCTTCGTTAAAATTGTTTCCAAGGTGGGTGGACGTCAAATAAAACCCAAAATCTGTTCGTACTAGGAACACAGCCCGTTCCCACCCATTTTGGCGCACCCACCAACGCGGGACAGAACCGCCTCGTCCGTTCCGTTGTTCCGTCCCGTCCGTCCTATACCAAACGCACCAAAAGGACTAACATATATTAATTATTGTTACACATTAAAGAGAGTAGTAAACATTTTGGAGGAAATTCTTAAAGTAATTGCCGTTACTAAAAAACTCTTGTAAGAAAACTAACTGTTTATTTTTAAATTAAAATACATATCATTATATTGCTGCACATCATAGTTATGTTTATTTAAATTCATTCCAGTAAACCATATTCCATGACAATATACAAAATGGACAACAATGGGAACAATATCCAACATTTATAATAGGGTTTATTCACAACACTCTAATATTTTACTTCTCACACATTTTGATATTGATAATTTGATCCATTGATATTTCACATTCAATTTCTGATGATAATCGAGGTCAAATCAAATTAAAAAAAATATGTAAATGAATAAAATAAAATGTATGAATATTACACCCCTTATAATTTTCTTATCCATTATCTAATTATCCGAGCAACCCATACCATGCATAATTCATGGACTTGATCGACGATTCCTTGACGAGAGAGAGAGAGAGAGAGTGGTCCGAGTGCGAAAAGCACTTAAATATGTGATAACTTGTCCCAACCGGCAAGAGGAAAAGTCCGTTACGTCAAATCCACCATGCTTGGGGAAATCCCCCACGTGATTGGTGATCTGGACATGGAAGATGGACCTGAGCTTGAAGCTCAAAACCCATTGCCACGACTCGGATAAAAACAGAAGATTCTAGTTTGTCCACGTTTTCTTGTCTATACTACATATAGGTTTGCGCTTGTCGTTTTTCAACTCTCCTATAAGCCTTGGATTGGCTTTCTCAAGATAGGTTTGAAGTCGATTAGTCTAGTTAAGCTAATCCACTTCTTGAATCACATAAAGAGGTTTCTAGCGGTCAAAGAAATGAGAATTCGTAGTTTGGTTTGAAGGCGACTTGGCCGTTCAGTATTGATCCCTAAAAGGCCAACTTAAAGCGCATAAACTTATTTTTTTTCACGATTCGGGTATTATCATCAGTCAATTGATGTGTTTTTCGTAAGCTTTCTTCTAAGCCCAGTAACAAAACTTCTTTTCGAACTAGAAATATATAAAATAGGTGTCACAGCTGATTATGGGTATGGCTGAGTCACGACTCGGTTCCTGACTCACTCACGTGAATTATCACATGCATGTGATAGACATAAGAGAATTTTAACAAAAAAAATCTGTTCATGATTTTTACTTTTTATTTTTACGAATTAAAAATATTTTTTACTAACTAAAAATTAATTCAGTTTATTTTTTTAATTTTAATCTTAAAAGTTTTCAAACTTTTTTTTCATAAGTTTTCTTATAAATAAAAGCACCAGCATCCCAAACTTTCCTACCGAATTACCTACACCAACAAAAGATCACACAAAATTCAAAAATTTCAATTCAACACAAACATTTTCGTCTGGTAAAAATGCGTTTCTAATCGCTGTGTTTCGTCTCGATTTCGATTTTGATCACTGTGTTTTTTTTGTTTTCGTCGATTTGGTCATTGCCTTTGGTTTGTTTGAAATTTTTCCAGTTTCCAGAGATGAATTGTTGAAATAATTTGGTGTTGGTGTAGATTCTGGTTTTGGTTTCGGTTTCGGTTTTTTATTAAGATTACAATGATTGGAAATGGGGTGGTGGGGATTTTGGCTGAGTCTGTGAACAAGTGGGAGAGAAGAGCGCCTCTGACGCCGTCTCACTGCGCTCGGCTGCTCCACAGCGGGAAAGATAAAACCGGAGTTTCTCGGATCATACTGCAGCCCTCGACGAAGAGAATTCATCATGATGCAATGTATGAAGATGTTGGATGTGAAATCTCTGAGGATTTGTCACATTGTGGTTTGATCCTCGGCATTAAACAGCCAAAGGTACTCATTTTTCCGTTCGTTTTATATACCATCAAGTTTGTCAATCGATATGCCGACGTAAACAGAATAGTTTAGAATATCGCCTTGTAAAGAGAAAGTTTGTCGATTGATCACAAATTTTGATACAATTGTTTGGATTTGGTGCAGCTGGAGATGATTCTGCCGGATAGAGCTTATGCGTTTTTTTCGCATACTCATAAGGCTCAGAAGGAAAACATGCCACTCTTGGATAAGGTCTTGCTTGATTTTCGTATGTTTTGAGCGGTTTTAAATACTTGCTTTCTTCGTTAGCAATTTATAACTCTCTGTGTGGTGTCCAGATCCTAGCAGAAAGAGTGTCTCTCTATGATTACGAGCTTATTGTCGGGGATCATGCGAGAAGACTACTTGCATTCGGAAAGTATGCTGGTAGAGCAGGATTTATCGACTTCTTGCTCGGCTTAGGACAGAGTATGTTCCAATTCATACAGTATCTGAGATGTTTTGAATTCATCTGCTATGGTGAATCTGTGTTGTTCAAGGCAATTTTAGGCTTGAAATAATGCATGAGCTGGCGTTTTCGTATTCGTTTTTGTTTAGCTATGTTAATGTTTGAGCATCTCTTGTGTACTTTTGGGTACTTTGGATGTCAGGTTTTTTCTCACCTTGTTTTAATTTGTCTTAGGGTACCTAAGTCTTGGATATTCGACACCGTTTCTTTCGTTGGGTGCATCTTATATGTATCCATCCTTGGCTGCCGCTAAGGCAGCTGTAATTTCTGTGGGCGAAGAGATAGCAACTCGCGGACTGCCATCAGGAATCTGTCCTCTTGTCTTCATTTTCACCGGTTCAGGAAATGGTACAATATTGCTTGTTCTTACGAAGCTTAAATTTCTACAACATCTAATAGCAAAATATATCTCATGCAATTTTATTTCCTGTAGTTTCTTCTGGTGCACAAGAGATATTTAAGCTTCTTCCTCATACTTTTGTGGAACCAAGCGAACTTCCGGCACTATTTGTGGCGGTAAGTAGTAAAACTAGTACGGTATATGTTGTTCCAACTTGATCTTGTAAGATAACAATAATAGAAGGGAAAATGCACTTCTAATTAGGTTCTTATCGACTCGAGAGACATAAAGTTTAGGTGGAAACAGCTCTGTACAAATAGATGTCACTCTTCTTTGTGTTAGGTTTTCATTTTTTTTTTTACTGATTAGGCCAAGGATGCTGCTCAAACTACTCGAAAATCGAAAAGGATCTTCCAAGTATACGGTTGTGTTGTGACTAGTAAAAACATGGTTGAACACGAAGATCCAACAAGAGAATTTGACAAAGTAAGCCCTGATCTCATAGTCATCTTTTAATTCTTCATTCCTCACGTCTTGTTTCTCGCTATCGTATAACAGAATATACTAACTCAAAACGTCTGCAATTTTCAGGCCGACTATTATGCACATCCAGAACACTACAACCCTGTTTTCCACGAAAAAATAGCCCCGTATGCATCTGTAATCGGTATGCTTTACACTCTTCTATCAATTTTTTAGACAAATCAGTAGAGTTAATGTCATTAAATGAATGCCTTGGATTTTAACTTAAGGATTTTCGAAACCTTTGGTTCTCAATTATCGTTATCCATTTCATTCTCTCATCCCATTAGATTTTAAAAAGACAAAATTTACTCTTTATGTTCTTTTCGCCTTGCAGTGAATTGCATGTATTGGGAGAAACGATTTCCTCGCTTATTGAGTACCAAGCAGGTTCAAGATCTAACAAAGAAAGCAAGTGTGCTTGTTGGAATCGCTGATATAACTTGTGACATAGGGGGGTCAATAGAATTTGTCAACCAAACCACATCAATTGACTCACCTTTCTTCAGGTACAAGTCATAAACACCACCTCAAAAAGCATTTTCTTGCTCACAAAATAGCATTTGCAGCTTTGAAAATAACAGTTCTTTCGGTAACATGGTTTGCAGATACGATCCTGTGACTAATTCTTACCATCGTGACATGGACGGCGCTGGTGTGATATGTCAAGCTGTGGACATTCTTCCGACAGAATTTGCAAAAGAGGTGCACTACTTTCATCCCTGCCTTCTTTTTCAATAAATGCAGTAATTCTAGAATAGTCTAATGCCAGAGATTATACTTCTCGTGGTTTGATAAAACATTTCTTTAATTTTGGGAAGGCTTCGAAACATTTTGGAGACATATTGTCCAATTTTGTTGGTAATTTGGCTTCTACAAAAGACATTACAAAGTTGCCTGCACATTTAAGGAGAGCTTGCATTACCCATGGAGGAGCACTTACCTCATTTTATGAATATATTCCGCGTATGAGAAAGTCAGACTCAGAGTAAGTTTCGCTTTCATTTCACATATATACTTGCCCTTGTTCTTTGGTGTTAAGCATATATTCTCTTTTTGATTTGCAGAGAAATATCAAAGAATCATGTTAATCACAACTACAAGAACTACAACATATCAGTAAGTTTCTCTATTTCTATTAACAATTTCGGATATTTCTCCGCTTATCATGCCATATATGCTGAGTTTCATTCTAAATCACAGGTATCTCTCAGTGGTCACCTATTTGATCAGTTTCTGATAAATGAGGCCTTAGATATCATTGAAGCTGCAGGCGGCTCCTTTCATTTGGTTAAGTGTGACGTGGGTCAATGTTCGAATTCTCTATCATTCTCCGAACTTGAAGTAAGTAGACCTCTAGCCAGTTTGGTCATCGGAGAGGTTCACTTTGGTATCTTCGAGTACAAGTTATCTTTACGTCAAATTTCATAGCATGAACTCGTTGTTATGGACAGGTGGGTGCAGATGACACGGCCGTTCTTGATCAAATTATCGACTCTTTAACTTCTCTAGCGAATTCAAACGAAAATCATGACTTAAAGCAAGAGAAAAATAAGATTTCTCTGAGTTTTGGTGAAGTCCAGCACAGTCCCACTAAAAAGGGAAATGACACGAAAAGAAAGGCTGGGGTTCTGATTATTGGAGCAGGCCGGGTCTGCCAGCCAGCTGCTGAGATGTTAGCATCAGTTAGCGGAATGTCATCCCACGAATGGTACAAAACATGCTTTGAAGATGAATTCGAAGAGATTAATGATGTGCAAGTTACTGTTGCATCTCTCTACCTAAAGGATGCTGAAGAGGTATGGCTGCAGAAAATCACATATTTCAAAAACCTGCTTTCAATTCTATCATGATGTATATTTTTTCATTCAAGAATGATGCGCAAACTTTTATGTGTTCATCTCATTTTTTTCGCGTTTGAACATTTTGATGCTGAAATTTTGGAGCAGATCACTGAAGGTATTCCAAATGCAACAGCAGTTCAACTTGATATTTCGGACACTGGCAGTCTGCATAGGTATATATCGGAGGTAATGACTTTTCTACAGTACGGTTTAAAGAGCAGTTTTTGAATTTCAGAGAAATCGCATGCCTAGCAGCTATATTACATATGATCAAAATGATTTGTTTAACTTAGATGTGTACTATTTTCGGTGTTCAAAACTTGCAAAGCTTCCATCGCACTCTTATATTTTTGGTGTTCTTTGTTTCCCTCATGCAGGCTGAACTTGTTATAAGTTTACTGCCGGCTTTTTGCCACGTTACTGTAGCAAATGCATGTATTGAGGTACTTCACGTTGCCTCACTGTTATATTTTCTTTGTTTTTCGTTCTTTACTTTTTCTGCCTTCCTTCAGCTAAGGAAAAAGGTTTTGTGTCTTCATTCAGCTTAAAAAGCATCTTGTCACTGCTAGCTATGTTGATGAATCCATGTCAAAACTGGATGAGAAGGCAAAGAGTGCTGGTATTACGATTCTTGGTGAGATGGGCTTGGACCCTGGGATAGGTAATGACTTATGTCTGGAAGTGCTTTTAGAATAACCAGAAACGCCTTCAAATGATCAAAAAGAACAATTGAAACTAGTCCTTGTGATGGCAAAAACTTTGGCATATTAGTAATGCAACTACTATTTTGATTTCGTCCGACTTCAGATCATATGATGGCGATGAAGATGATCAACCAAGCCCACGTTCGGAAGGGGAAAATAAGGTCTTTCACTTCTTACTGTGGTGGACTGCCATCCCCAGCTGCAGCAAACAATCCGTTAGCATATAAATTCAGGTAACTCGGATTGGATACCCTCCTTAATTATATCTACTGTTTATAGTTTTACTTCTAACTTCTATTAACCTATCATTTCAGCTGGAGTCCTGCAGGAGCTATTCGAGCTGGACGTAATCCTGCAACGTACAAATCTAACGGCAAAATTGTAGAAGTTGATGGTATGTTGTCAGTGATGAGCTATTTTGATTATCATAATGAATACGAGTCATTCTGCACTTTTTCACTTTTATCTTTATGGTACAAAATTTCAGGGAAGGATCTTTATGATTCAGCTGCGAAATATCGGGTTCCAGACCTTCCAGCCTTCTCGTTAGAATGCCTTCCAAATCGCAACTCCCTAGTTTATGGGGACTTGTATGGAATAGGACATGAAGCATCAACAGTCTTTCGTGGAACTCTTCGATATGAAGGTATGACATTGCTTGGCTTCTAGGTTAAATTAATGCTTAGATTCTTACTTGAATTCTATTTTGCGTAGGGTTCGGAGAACTAATGGCAACGCTTTCAAGAATTGGTTTATTCGAATCTGAACCTCATCCGCTTCTTAAGGATGCAAATAGACCCACGTTCAGGAAATTTTTGTCTGAACTCCTCAAAATGAAAACTGAAGATCTGGACAGACCTCTGATCGGAGAGAAAATCATCCCCGAAAGGATTGTCACGCTCGGATACTGCAAAGAGCAAGGAGCTGCTGTGAGGGCAGCTAAGACTATCGTGTATGCACATTGCACCTCTTACCCGTTTTCTTTCCATTCTTCTTGTGTGCTTGTATTTTCTAGACAGAGTAATACTGAAATGTATCGGTTTGTTCTCCGTTGTGGAACAGATTTCTGGGACTTCACGAGCAGAAAGAGATCCCCGCCTCTTGCAAAAGCGCATTTGAAGTTGCTTGTCTTCGGATGGAAGAGAGATTAGCGTACTCCAGCACGGAACAGGTAGGTTACTTGTGAGACAAGTGAAACAGCGTTATGATAGCCAAGTCATTTTACACCAAAATTATGCATAATCTGTGTGATTTGTGGTCAGGACATGGTGCTTTTGCATCATGAAGTGGAGGTTGAGTTCCCGGATGGACTTCGAGAGAAGCATACAGGCACTCTACTGGAATTCGGGAAAATGAAAAGCGGTAAAATGATCTCCGCCATGGCGTTCACTGTGGGAGTCCCGGCGGCCATTGGAGCTCTGGTACTTGCTACACGTTTCTATGATCTTCTATAGTATGCAGTGAGATAAATCCCTAACCAAATTTACTTCCTTGCAGCTCATACTTGGAAACAAGATCAAAACGAGAGGCGTCTTGAGACCTATCGAACCAGAAGTATACGTCCCAGGTCACCACTTGCTCTTATTCTTCATGATTTAGCCGTTTCGACATGAATTTTCGTTGTCCGCAACATAACTGGTGTATTTTTGTGGTGTTGCAGCAATGGATATACTACAAGCTTATGGAATCAAGTTAATGGAGAAGATCGAGTGATCCGAACCATCTCCGTTCGTCCTTCCTGACAAATATCGACGGATCCAACTTGAAACTCGACGCGCTACTGCCTGGTATCGCTCGGGCGCAAGGAAGCACAGATATTTGAAAGGAAGTGTATGACGTAAATTATGTAACAGGGCTCCAGTGAGAAGTTTGCAGTGCCTTTTTTTCTAAGTTTAGCGGAAAATGGCGTCTGCAAATGGGAGGAGCTTACTGTTCCTACTTGGTGTAAGAAAAATAATGATGCGAACAATGAATTTGACAGTTTATCAGATCAAAATTCAAACACTTGAGTTCTCCAGGAATGCTTTGTGATTACATCGAATTGAGCCAGTTATCGTGTCGGGTTCAAACGAACTTGATCAAACGGTAACGCTGTACAAGTTTGTGCAACAAAATTGAGAAACAACCGATTCATAAGTTCAATGCAGTGTGCAGGCATTTTCATGGTTGTCAAAAACAAAATATTAGGGTTAGAACAAAATTCGACATCTCAGTCGTTCTACTAATAAACTGCAGCAGCAGTTAGGGGTGGGTTCGATTTCAATCAGTTCAGTTTTAATCAGTTTTCGGTTTTTCAAACCCACCCCTGGCAGCAGTAATGGCAAATACAAAACAACCAGCAAACCTAAAGAATAAAACAAGGTCACACAGTTAAACAATGGTAAATTTTGGATTATTCGAGAATTTTCGTCATCCTCCATATTTACAACTTAAGAAATTTCCTTTTACCCTATTCTCTTCTAAATGAATAATAAGGAGAAAAAGGAATAGAAACCAAACCCAATCCAGGGTTGGCTTCCAGAAATCAGACACCTAGTTGCCAGAAGTTGGGGGTAATGATATGATATTATCACTTCTCACCCTTGTCCTACTAAAACTTTCACCGGACAACCCTATTTGGTCCGGTCTCTAAAGACTTGGAGTTTCGTCATCAACGATACTTTCTGTAGCATCCTTCTGATGCACTCCATGTTCTCAACATATCTTGACAAAGTGGCAGTCAATCTGGCAATGGGTTGTAATAAAAACTATGAAATTATGCTGTTTATGGTCATCAGCTGCTTCTCGACAGCTTCCCAGTTATGAACCTTGGTGACCAGGGGGTGTTGATCAATAGACTCCGTCTTGCACCAGGGATATGAGTTCTCATAATCAAAAAGTAGAACCCTGATCCCCACCTCGGCACATTCAAGTGCATATCTTGGATTGTCATCGATTAGAACCTTTGCTCCCAGGGACCTGGCAAGTACATGTCATCAGAACAGAGAGTCGCTATACTATGTATAGTAGGACAACGATTGGGTCCTATGAGGAGATAGTAGTCGACAAACCAACAAGCAGGTAAACATGCATCATTATTGGAACAGGAAACTTGAAAAGCGGATTTATAGGTTCTAAAAACTGAAGGAAAAATGCTTCAACAGATGCATAAAGTTTCAAATATATAACATCTTCGAAACCATCTGAAGTTGTTCATGAGGATACCTGCATATTTCTGACTTAGGCCTGGACTCTCCATGCAAAGCCCAGTGGTTGCCAAAGTGAATTTCCTGAAACAGCCCTGAAAAATGTTGTTCGATCCATTGAAGAGTGTGGTCCTTAATTACATTCTGCCGAGACCTATTAGCACAGAGATGCCAAAAGATCAAGTTACTAAATGCTCTGATAACCATAATAATAAAATGGTCTCAGCTAATTGTACATACGTCACAACCGACAGGTCACAGAAATCTGACAACTTATGAATCGTCTCCTGAGCACCTGGGAGTGGATGGATCCCGGTCTTGAAATATGATGATTTAAAGAACTCGTGAACACGATAATCGGCTGTCAAAACGAATTAGGTAATCAATCGTGACTATGCTTTAAAGAAAGGAAAAAAGATATGGCAGGAAAAAAAGTGCAAGTAAAATTTTAAGCAGCAATCTCAAAACATTTATCAAATGTCTCAATCAAAAATTTGACCATGAAACCAAAAGAATCTGGTGATTTAATGCAAAAGATGGACACATTTAAAGTACCTTCATCACGTGAACAGTTCCATATCTGTAACAGAAAAGAAATTTGATGCATCAGGATATGTTCAAGGAAATGTAAATATTCTCCCAAGAAAGCGTATCAAGGGAAAGGGTAACAGAAAATGTAAAAATATATCCGTGAAGCCTGCTACCAAAGAGAACTGGCACCTTAAACTACGGAGTAAAGAACTCGGATTTCTGGAGTAACAACTCAACTCAACTCAATCAAACAGAGCGAGGAATGGATGAGGCAAGCAAATATTACTATATTCCAACACAAGAAACGTCTGAAATATAAATCACAGTTCACAATGTAATATAGACTTCAAGTCGAGAATACAAAGTAAACCGCCAACTACTACGAGCATACTTGTAAACAACTCACAGGTTCGCTATTATATGAAAAATGCTAAAAACATTTGAAATGTTGAGGCATATCAACTTGCAATGCGAAATATGGCAAACAAGCAAGCAAGCAAACCAACAACCACAATTGCATGACTCTATATATGTAGCAGTCTAGATTCATTGGCTCAACTAGTTGGCAGGTAATACCTTGAAGAACTCATACACATGGTACTCCGAAACTGAATGGTTGGACGAGTAACGATCAGCAATAAAGCAGTTGAGAGCCGAGATAAAGTTTCCCAATACTGCTCATAAAAAACAGCATTCGGACAAAATAACCATATATCAGCTAAAAACAGTTCCAAGCTCTCATTTTGGTTAAATCAAGACAAACCCAAGTTGGCAAATATAAAAGACAACATAATAATCGTAACAGAAAATGAGAATCAATGTATATACATTACCCTCGTCCACATCGACCGCGACAACGAGTTTATCACCGGGCAAAGGATGGTGTGGGATTCCGGCCCGGCCTCCGCGCTCCTGGCAACCATTTGAGGAGGTCAATCCAACGGTATCCGAGCTGCGGAGGTCCAGCTCAAGATCACGAACCAACTGAGCATTGGGATGACGCTTAATGCTATTGCTATGAGACTGATTGTGGGGATGATGCTGAGATTGTAAGCACCCCTTCACAACAAAATTGCACCCAATGCTTGTATTCCTCAGATTCCCAGGAAAAATTCCAGCTTTCCCGGGAAAATTCGCAGACTTGCAAGAATGGCCCGCAGAAAAATGGGAAGGCGTCCATTGAGCTTGGGTTTGAAACCCTCTGCATCCACTATGGCTAAACAAAAAAGCAGCCGCCATGGCCTCTGTATACTGCTGGCGGCAATGGAGGAGCAAAGGTCGGTGCTTTGAGCTTGCGAAGAGGAAGCGATCGACGCCTTGCCTTTTCAACAACAACATAACGATCCCCAAATGCCCCTCACAACCAAAACCCCAACATTCACAGAGATTGCAGCATAAACCCTAAAAACTGCCGATTTGGGAATTCCCAACTCCCAAAACGTAGCCGGAAGATTCCTCTGCAAAATTCTGAGTCGGCCACGGGATGCACGAAGTTGGGAAGGTGAATCCAAAGAATGCAAGTCACGTATATTCATAAAAGCAGAGAAATTGGAAGCTCTCTCCTCTCTCTCCCTCCCCTCTCTCTCTCTCTCTCTTGTCTGTTTCTCTGAAGCTGTGATCCAATCGTATAAATTTGCAGAAAAAATCTAATAATTATTATTTTTTGTTTAATTCTGAATTAGTTTTTAGTAATTTTTAGTTTATGAGGATTAATTATTGGTTAAAGCGGAAACTCGGCCTTGATTTCCGATTAAATTACAAAAATTTAATTTGTAAAGTTAGATGCCTTCCCTCCCTCGGTAACTTTCTTCTCCTTTGTTCATTCCTGTGTGTATCATTTATGGGACCCACACTAATGTGATCCGACGGTCCTGATTGTGTCCACGTTTTCTGCTTGTGGTGGGCCATCTCTGTCTTTTCTTTTCGTCTCCTTTTGTTGCTTATTTTTGTGTTTTCATCGCCATTGAAAAGAAAAGGTGTCCAATTTTGGCTTTTGCTTCGGATATGAAAATTGATGTTATTTTATGATTATTTAGAGTAACCCTAATCAACTACATGATTAGTAACTTTGTAATTGTCATTACCTCTCTTTGTACATCAATAACAATTTCTTTTATTTCAATAGTTCACATGTTCCGACATGGAATAATTAATATTGTCTTTTTAGAGAATCTGTTTTATAATCGAGTGTATCATCCTTACGTTTACAGTCAAGAGAAAATCTGATGTTTGGACATCCGTACAATGCACTAAACACAAAAGAGTTAAGGGGTTTTTGTGTATGTGGTCAGACAATCACGTTACCCAGACACATGGACAAAATACAAAAATTTGTCATCCATTTTAATATTGTTAAAATTCTCTCGTACTTGTTCGATTAGCGAATCAATCGTTAATTCAACTATCATATAATGTAATCAGTTAATCTGATTTAAAAATACATCGCTTCAATATGAAGGGGATTAAAATGGACAAGATCACACAAATGTAGGTAAAAAACAATCAGCATCGATTCATTGCAAAGTAAACCCTTAAAATATATACAATACAAGTGGTGGTGAAAATTTAGATGATCAATGTGGATACTAGAACAAGCGCAAGTAACCCCATCGCAACTTTGTAGGAGCTGTGCTCTCTCAATCCAGCAGCCGGCGAAGCAGGAGACCGCGGTCGAGACTTTTCGAGATCAATCATGATCTGGAACCGGCACGAACCATTCTGAGTCGGAGTTGGATCCGTCTTCGTAATGACTGAAAGACTAGAGAAGTTGCAGGCATCGTTGCGCTGGTCCATTGTTTGGAAGTACATGTTGAAAGCATAAGAGACATTGCTTTTAGCATCAAGCATTCCACAAGAAGATCCATTTCCAAGACTTGTGCAATCTGCATGGGAGCAAGCATAGTCGATACTTTGAGCCAAATTTGGATCGGAAGTGCTCGCGTCCGGCGACATTACGCACCATTGTCTAGGCAAATACTTCACCCCTTTCGCCGGAACCAAAGATTTTCCGCTACCCATGTCCAACGGGTATTTGAGTGATCCGTCGTAATTGAACATCCCCCAATGCCTCTCGAAATTCCCGGGCAGAACGCTCTTGGCATCTTCATCTATGAGTGCAAATATGTAAATGTCGGGCGCGGCTGACCTCTTTGGGGTGCCTTGTCCCGCAAGGATTCGGTTTAGAAGGCCTTGATTGAACCGCCGGGCGTCTTGTATGTTGGCATTAGGGTCACCATCCGTTGGCCATCCGACTTCTCCAACAATGACAGGCAATTTGGAGAAGCCGTTCTTTTCGAGGGCGGCAATGCAGGTGTCGAAGTTGGCATCAAGCACGTTGGTGTAGGAGATCGAGCCATCGACAACGGGCTTCGCAGTGTTGTTGAAGAAGGCGTATTCTTTTGGAAAATCGGGGTCGGCTTGGAGGCTGAGGAAAGGGTAGATGTTGATGGTGAGAACGCCGTTGTTGTCGCTTAGAAACTTCATGATGGACATCATGAGGGTGCGGATGTCGGACCGGAAGTCGCCTCCGGAGGGAAGGCCGGAGTCAGTCTGGTAAACGTCGGCGTTTATGGGAATCGTCACCTTCACTTGCCTCCCTAGCCCTGCTTTTATGAGGGCTGCTTGAATATTTTGCAGTGCTGGAAGCGTGGTTTGCAAGAAAGTGTCCTTGTAGGCTGTGAGGAAAGGTTCATTGCCCACGGCCACATACCTGCTTAGATTCAGATGTTAATTTGATATCTAATATAGGAGAAATTCTTGAGTCCGATAGGTGAACCACACGCGTAAAAAGTGCGACTCCCTTATATTGGGTGGGCCAACATAGGACTGTGTGAAACCTTTACAATTTTGAGTAATACGAACAAAAATTTGGAGTCATTTACCTTATATCAACGCCGTTTTTAGATATGTAGGAAGATACATTTTGAGACACCCACTTCTCAGCGACAGTAACACTACTAGCAAGTGGTGCCAATAGATCATTAGGTATCCCCACCATAACCTGGATGCCAGACCTTCCCAGAGCTTGCAATGCCCCGGCATCAGCTTCGAACAGCTTCACCTTGCTGAAGCCATTGTCCTTCAAAAGCTTGACGACAATCTTAGGAGGCAACGGGTGTGTGGAACGGGTTCCCCAGTTGCACGCCAAGCCGCCAGCGCCAAGCACCCCTCTCACCACGCCTTCGCTGGTAACGCAGAGCAACAAGAACAACAAGAACCGGAAACCCATGTTTTCTTACGCCCTCCTTACTTCAGTCTTCGGTTTTTCGAGCGTATTTCTACTGGGTGGAAATGTCCGTTGATGAGAGGAAAGGCAAGGAATCAGATGAATGTTTAACTGGAAAACTGGATTCTAAGAGGGAAAGGGATAGAGTGAACTTGTTGTAAACCTATTTTTTTTATGCGCCAAGTAGTTCCTCGATGGGAATCAAAAAACCCATATGGAAGGAATTGCCTTTTTCCCAACAGGAATGTTTGTCCCAGACTACAGAGGCTTAGCGAAAAGTCCCTTTCGTATTATTCTCACTTTTGGTTTAAGAAAGTGCTTTTAAATAACTGAAAACGCTTTTAGTTATTTAAAAGTACTTTTCAAATGAGCTACCAGACTGTTTAAAAATGTTTCTGTAAAAAGCGCTTCTGTTCATAAGCACTTTTGTTGAATATGCTTTTGTTAAAAGCCTGTAAAATAAATTTATTGAAAATTCAAGTGGGTTTCATAAGCATTTAATTCAAGAGGAGTAATCGACTAAAGTTAAATTCTAAATGACTAAAAGCATTTAATTCAAGTGGGTTCACATGGGTTAATCAGCTAAAGTTAAAATTCAATAAGGAAATTAACTAAATAAAAAAGTTCAAAGAGATAATCGGCTAAAATTAAAGTTCATAAGAAAAATTGACAGCTGCATACAAGTTCAGAAGGTTGATCAACAAATACCTCTAAATTTATGAAAAATTCAAGTGGGTTCTAAAAGCATTTAATTATGTGCTTCTTGCAGAAAGACATTTAAGTGTTTTTTTCAGAATCCACTTACACTTTTACTAAGTATTGGTTCCAAAACATTTTTGCCAGAAGAGCTTTCAGCCATTTTCAAAACACTTCCAAACAAACTGTTAAAATGCTTTTATACCTAGAAGCACTTTTAACAATTCTTAGCCATTCAAAATAAAAAACAATGATTTTGCAATTAATAACATCTATTAATCATTTTGATTTCGAATAATATCTACTAATCATTCATTGTTACTTAAAATTACACAACAGAAAAGGAGATGATTTGAAACAATAAGAGGCCGATTCAAAACAAATTACGTTCACTCTTTCCTCTCACTTTAACTCTACATTAGGACCATTACAACAAAATTTACTGCGTAAAATGAAAAATTTATAGGCACGGGAGAAAGAATATCAGCTGAACAAAATTAGACCATCGGCGTTTGGAGCGGTGATGTCGAAAATCATTTCTGCCGGGACTCTCGTCAAAGTGGCAACACCGGAAAAAATAGCTTATGGCAGAAGTGCTTTCAATTGTGCCCTGAATAAATCACCAAGAGCTCCGCGAACATCCATCTGAACGAATCGAGCAAATATAAGTTTTCCCGGAACATATCCTGAATCTCTAATTAGTAATTAAATTTTGTAAGAGGGAATGGCAAACTTGGTTACCTGGTCACAGCATACGAGTTTTGTAAGCAACGGATAGAAGTCTCTCAGATGCCTTCTGAAAATTTGTTGGTTCATAAAGCACATGCCTTTAAGCACCTGAAAGACCAAAACAGTGAGGAAATTATCATCGGTTAATACTGCAAATGTTCAAAACTCACGGGAAACTGATCTCGTAAAATATTGTCCATCAACAAGCACAATGAAGTGAATCCACCAAACCAATCAAATTAGGGTTTCAAATTATACCTTGATAATTATCGGAGATCGTAACTCCAGAACCCGATGAATATCCATATTAGTAGTCTCGCCAGAACCGGACTGCAGATCAGATGCCTCCCTGAGTACCTGTTCACAGAAAGACACCAGTTTCTCTTCTGCTAATCCTTCGACTTTCTCTTCACCATCAGTTTCTCCCTCTTTGTCGGCACTAACCCCAGAGGTTGCCTTCTGTAAGATCTCCAGATATATGACAGTTCCAGCTAATTCTTGGCGAAGAAGATTCAGAGGTGGCCTGTCCAAAAGATGAAATAGTCACAAACTATGTTCTTTTGTCCAACAAACTATCGTCCTCAAGGAGAAAATTCTACAGCAACAGAAAATAATTTGTGCACAAGATTTCATCCTACCTCTCATCAGGAATTTGGTGCATGCGTGTTCTGAGATTGGTATATGAATTATAGGAAGCGGCGAACTCTAATGCAGACAGCAATATGTCCATAATAGCAATCTTTTGTGGTGCTTTCAACTTGCTCCAGTATTTCTTCTACAAATTGCAAGCAATTTTATTAGGAACAGTTCCTGGAGACATTTTTACAGAAACCAATGGTAACAATATGGCACCCCAAAAAAAATTCAAAATGCAAACCTGAATACTGTCAATGGCGCCAAGCAGTAAAAGTTGAGTGATGCATTTGCTCCTACAAGTTCCCAACAGTGAACTCTCCTCCTCATCTCTGATATCAGGTTCGACAGCCTCAGGCGCCTAATGCAGCATAAGAATCAAACACATCATAAACGCATGAAAATATGGAAGCATATATACGTGTCAAATACCCACTAAATCTGGATGCCCTGTGGCCTAACAGAATGAACAATAAATCCTGTAGGAATTAATATCCTGCGACAGCATACCCTAATTGGAGAAGATGGTACTGAAGCATCGGATGGAATAGCCTTAGGCTTAGAAAGATTTCTGAGAAACAGATTGTCCATAATTCTTTGACCTATTGTTTGAGTCCGTTGGAGGCTTCCAGCTTCAGCAGATTTTGAAGCACTTCCCGATGGTGATGGAAGGCCTACAGTAAAGCTTAGCTCCATCAATCATAGTTTAAAGACAAATATTGACTCTCTAGGTTCTATTAATAGAGGAAATAAATTGTAGTAATCGGCAATTAGAAAGTATTTTTGGATAAATGCAAACTACCATAAACACATCTTAAAAACCTGACCTTCAGATCCATCCGTCTTCATTTGCACCCCCGAGTTTTGTTTGGCCAACACCGGTGCATTTGGATTTCTTCCATTATCACTGACATCAAATTGACGGCTATCCACTCCGTCATAATCACACTTTATGGAAGGGCTATCACCTGAATTGACCTCTAAATCTCCGATTAGCACCCTATTATTGTTCTTCAGATTCTCAAATCCCAAAGCGTTTAGCAGTTCAAGTGGTTGCGTTGTGTACAAAGCATCTCTGATGACAACAATAAAATGATTAGTATTAGAAGTTAGAACAACCACAAAATATTACCAAATAATAAGAGATTCCGACCTTATGCTTTTCAACAATGTGTCCCAGTCGCTCTCACTAAATTGATGTCCTCCAACTTCAATGAGATGCACCAGTGCACCCAGAGATAATGAAACTACTGTTTGATCAGTCTTTTTGGCACAATCCAAAAGTAGACTGAGTAGGGGTGGCAACATGAAACATACCTCCTGCACAAATGAAATACTTCCACATTTACCTAATCTTTGGAACACCAACTTCAAAATGCACTAAAGATTTAACATTTTTTACCACCAGAATCAAAGATATGATAATACCACTCTGCATTATTTTTTTACCAATACAATTTATACATCTCGTATTTAGCTCAAACTACCTTATAAAACGTGTTGAAAAGGTTGCAAAGCAACTGCAGCGAGTGAATGCTTGTTTCACGGAACCATTCATCGTCAGAAGAAACCAAGCTTTCCTTTCCAGCATGTCTCACGTGATCAAATATGGGAAACAAGACCCGATGAAAAATGCTCTCCCAAAATGTTGATGAGAACTTGGTACCTCTCTCATTCAGTAGATCAAACAAAACTTCAAGTGCACAGCTTCTGACTTCTGGTCTTGGATCCGATGTCAGATCAGACAGACCAGCCAGCATTGGGAACCAATAATGTTCGGTCACATCAAAAGTTGTATCCATATTTACATCAAGAGGCCTCAAGGCACCACCAGGTATAAGACCCTGAAATAAATTGACCAGCGTTAAACACAGAGATCTCAATGGCAACGTGACAAGCTATCAATACAAGCAAGTTGGAAGACACAATATATAAAGACATGAACCCACAACAACCACACCACCCACAGAAAAGAAGCCCAAGAACAGTGCTGAGTTTTTTTTGGCTAAATAGCCAGTCACCAGACTATCAATAAAATAAATTAAAAAGCTGAGTAACCCTTTTTCTTTCTTCTTTTTTCTTAACCATTTGAACAATAAGTGCTCCAGGACCTCCACCTGTTGTCATGTCATACTGACAATCTCACAAAGCTAATTGGAGTATATGTAAGATAAATTATCAAACCCAATCATTCCAATTTATAAACTTCACCTAAACTTTTATGGATTCAATTTGCTACTAACATAGTTCAGGCTATTTTTGGTATCTATCTGCCAAGGACAAATACTGAAGGAAATATGTGAAAGCAACATGCAATGAATGAAAAGGCATTCACGAAGAGGAAATGTTATGTATTAGTATACAAATGATAGGTTGAACATGCAGTAAGCAAAAATAAACTAGCAAACCTCTGCCAGACGATCCTCACATATCCGCAAGAGTGCAATAGCCTTCAAACTTATACGGTGTGAAGTTCTATTATTAGCAAACCTGATAAGACAGTTGACACAGTCCATGAAACAATCTCCAACTACTTGATCGAAGTGTTCCAAGATAACTGCAAATTTCACCATATTAGATAATACAAAAATTGTGAAGATGAGTAAAAACATCAATATGCAATGAAGAAATGTAAAAGAAATTGTTACCCTGTTCAACATTTTCAAATGCACTCTCAACGATTGATTCCAATTCATCATCTGCAGCAGCTGTAAAAATCATGAAAACACTACGCCATCCAGACTTGATGCTCCCTACTTTGGATTTTATCATCTGAAAAAAGGCAAAAGAATCAATTTTACTTGTAGTAGTCTAGCAGGATAGTTGTATATTGAAAAAATAAATAAGAAGGAAGTGCAATCGGGAAAGTATTATGTCCACATACTTGAACAATGCAATCAACTATTAAGCTCCTTATGGTTTCACTTCGACTATTGCGCATAAGAACAACAAAAGGTTTAAGAATGTCATTTTGGAATGTGAAATTG